GTCACATGTTACAACACACTCGTACAGATAGTGCAAGCAATTCTTTTTTTGCCGGTATTATACATATACTCTCACAAAGTGAAAGTGAAAGTAAAATTTTCTCACACCTTAGCGACGAATTCTTGTCCTACGTCGCCGTACCTCGGCAGCACACATTCCACTGTGTACCTGGAGTGTAGGTTGCGGTTGATAAGAGAATTACTGTACGGCCGGAGGATGAGGGCGTTTCTGTAGATGAACGTATCCCTGGTTTCCTTGACAAACGGAACATTACTGCTATTTAATATTTGTTAACATATTGTATTAAGGACATACTGGTAACATTGGGGGTAACGTCAGCGGAGGCTGATATTGAGACAATGTTACTAACCAAGATTACGCGCGGATTAATACTTAAACATCTAAAATTTTGTTAACCTCATGGCAATAGACTCATGCGTACTAGTACATGTATGAGTTAATTTAAATGCAAATGATGGTAATTTATTTATTTTTCATTTTGTTGTTACTAATTAAGACTAATATCAATTACCAGTCTGCGGGTTCCACACATTTGAGTGGCAAGGGGCACATGGAATATTGCGTTGCGGCCAAGGTATTGGTCAGGAACACACTTGCTGTCGTCCAAGGTCAAGGTCATTGGACCAAGACGAGACTGGATATCATTTACGTCCACCGTCACAGTCATACCCTTTGTCGAGTCACAATTCACGGAAACTTTGGGATTATCTGTAACAGCGGTACCATTGTTAGATGTGGGAAATTCAGGTTATTACAACTTTTGTTCTGAAACGACGGTTCTAAATTTGGTTAAACCTAAGTCAACTCCAAATATTACTTATCGTTTATGGGCAATTACTTCTCATCCTATTTGACCAAAAGTGTTTTGATTTTGAAATCTGAATTTTGAAGTGCAATACCAGAAATGTACTTATCTTTAGAACCAAACAATCGCTTCAAACCAAAGCAACTCATCGTTGTACTCGTGCTAAAAACAAATAAATAAATAGATAAAAACAGAGGAACTCACAATAATTGTAGGAGTTGATCCTGGTCTCACACTTGTATCCCGTGGCGTAGCTTGGACAACTGCAGCGGTAAGGCTGGGACCAGGGACCCCAGTAGCCCGTGGGAGAGCAGTAGCCGTTGTTCTGACAAGGGTTTGGGTAGCAAGGATCTGGAACAAAACACAGTTGTAGTATTAAAAGGACGGGAACCTTAGTAAACAAGTGGAGGAGTGAGGAATGTTTAGATTTTACTGTTTTAATGTGTGTTTTAATATGACGTAATAGAAAAAACGAAGAGCTTCATTCTTTATACGTTTTTTTTAATTATACCACTAAAGGTTGAAATGGTAGGTGTATACACAATATTTCTTAAGTGCTTGTTTGTTTTAGCTTTTTATGAATTGGATAAACAGAAAGGCGCGCGTTATGATTGATCTAAAAATATGGTATGTACAGTAAAACGCGTCTCATAAAGTGTAAATAAACAAGGGTCCGCTGGCAGTCAGGTGAGACTAATGTTATTCACAAAGAGAGAGGTGTATAAGCCAATACTTAGAATAATGTGATAATGAGTGGTTCGCAAACACTTAGTAGATCGACGTCGCCTTATTATTGTATTCCAATATAGTTGGAATGACACTATGAGCAGCTAGTATTATAGTAGTGCTATAATGTTAGCTCGTGAAACAACTGATGCAGTTTGGTTGAACAGGAAATATTTGGTGCCCAGCAAATTTACATTTGCTTGCTAGTATGACCACTAAGTGGATTAAACCTGCATTTCACTCTGTAGAAGAACATTCAGAAGAATTCTAAAATCGGCAAGATTTGCAAGCATGTGTTGAAGGCCCCTTTTTCAAAATGGAACAGATAAAAATGGAATGTTTAGCTTATATTAAATGAAAATGACGAAGGAGAAGGAAAATAAATTAAACACAGTAAACGACGAGGAGTAGGTGGGGGGGAGGGAGGGAAGCAGGTAGAGGAGTAAGCTGTGTATAGATAGAAAAGCTTATTCTTCCTCCTCCTCCTCCTCCTCCTCCTCTTTCCCCCTCCACCACCCTCTTCCTCCTCCCTCCTCCTTTCTTCCTCCTCCCTATCCTCCTCCCCATTCCTCTACTTGTTTACTAAGGCTCCCGTTATTTTATTACTACTTACGTTTGTCTGTCATTAAAAAAATTGAAACACACAGTGGTCATTTATATATACATATGCAGTATCAGTTTTGACGTTCAAAAGAAACATGGAACTTAAGCAATCATTTGTTGTCCAGTTTCCTTTGATTATCTATTTAGTAACACATTATTTTACATTATTTTATGTGCATCATTTATGGATTGCTATAGTGTTGTGATATTAATAATTTCATAATTGTACAAAGGAAGTAAGAGTCTAGGTACGTTTATCCCACATATCGTACAGTTCAATATGTCAACGTTGCGAGAATTAAAGCACGAAAAAAAAATAAACATTAAAAACACGACTTCTACACATGAAAGGCCAGGTAAACCGATACTGATTTACTTTAAGTTTACCTTTGGTAGTCGTGTTAGCCTTGGGACTCTCAGTAGATAGCCAACCTGAAAACAAACAAACAAACAAATGCACAGAACAACGCATTATAGAATAACAAAAGCCAAGCACGCTATTATCTGTAAATTCGATATGTAAAGATAAAGCAATGCGCTATTAATTTTTGCATACCTACTTGTGTGCATAACTTTGCCACGAACGCCGTGCTAGGAAATTTCAGTTAGTGACTGTATAGTGCACAAGTGACAGCTAGGTTTCGATTGCGTCTGTATATTGTAGTAGATCGTAAAGTGTGCGTTTCCGTATACTTAAGTGCGTATTCTATCGAAATTCTGCTGTTCGTCAAGATAGCTCTGTTTACTGGATTTACCGTTATCGGTACGCCATTTCAGTCGCACCAGTGTCGTCTTGGTGCGAGCCTTAAGGGTTCTATGATCCATGCATGGTGTGTTATTTGACTCGTGCAGTACGTGGACGGTAAATCTCAACACCGTCACCTTCTACTCAGGCACTTAAAATGCTCACATAAACGCCATGTCATTTACTCACCATAATATTCACACCGCTTCCCGTATCTCGCCCAGGGACATGTACAGTTGTAGTCCACATAGTCATAAGGCCAGTAATAAGATCTTTGTGGGACACACGTGCCTCCGTAATAACATGGGTAGGAAGAGCAAGGATCTGTTAAAATACACATGTATATAGAGAAATAAATAAATAAATTAATTGATTAATTAATTAATTAAATTAATTGCTTAATTAAATTATTAATTAATTAATTAATAAGTCGTCCTTTATGGGATACATGTACTTCCTTAAAAACGAGAATGGGTAGTTTGACAAGTTAAAAGTTTTCGTATTTCCCATATTGTACATACAGTACACACAGGAAATCCGTTGATATCGACAGAGAAACATAGAGCACACATACCATAGCTTGAAGAAGTAGTTTCGGATGCCTCAGTGGTACCTATACAAGAAGATGCAATGATACAACACAACATTCAGAATGATATGCCAAAAATTCAATATATATTTATTAAATTATGTAAGGGTAATTATACGTCTTCCCTGTACAGATGTCTTAGAATTTAACAAAAACGCCGAACCCCTCTAATGGACCCTGAGATGGATGTTTTTGGAACATTTGAAAAAGTATATCATGCAGTACAACAGACAAATGCCATCGTCTGGAATAGAAATACAAATATGACATCGACTACCTCCTCTGTCATATACGAATTATTAAATTACTTTTGCAATATTTATCATTACACAACATTTTTCTCCATCATTATTAGGTATATATGAGTTAATTGGTGGTATTTTTAGGTTCTTTTAAGAAGGGCATACAATGCTAAAATTGATCTCCATCTTTACGTGTATATGTTATTGTATAATTCTCTTGAACCAATAAACTTGTTTGAAAAATAGGACATGGAGGTATCTTTGTAGTGCCCGCAGTCGTTGGTGGCCATGTCGCACACTTGGAAGCAGTATGCCTACGTAAATTACAATACAAATCAACTAGCTAACACTAAGTCCGGGTGGTCAGCACTCGTGAACCTTGGCAACCAAGCTAGGTTAAGGGAAACACTAATCTCAAACTCCCGCTGCCTTTACGGCGGTACCCCGTTGAGGGAAAAGGTTTCCGGAGTAAACCCCGAGGACAAACCAGAAACTTGGGTCCCGTAGGCAGCTCAAACATGGAAACAGACCTGAACTTGCACAGAGGGTGGAAACGCGCTACCTTCATTATCAAGACACACCTATTGGTTTGTAACCTTCAGGGGCAATAAGGGCTTGGCCTTTGTGGCAGGCCTTTTGATAGGGATTGATTCCAAGCATTTTTGCCCATAGTCAGTCCACAACATTTGAATTTTTTTTTGGTCAAGTATTCATACGTCATCGAAGTTTGTGTTCAAGACTACAGGCTGGCATCTACTGGTACCTTCAGTGACTTCATTAGTTACGTTCCCACAGTTCATGGTTATCTCTGGGTTGAACCTCCTGCGACGGAGCTGGAACCTTCTGTATTAGCCATTCTCTGTTCACTTGGCCCTTCCGGTTACATGGAGAGGGAATCATAGCATAGTAACGCTCTACCCATGCTTTTTCGCCATGGAGATGTCACTCCAGCCTTGCTATGGGCAGAAATGCTTAGAAGCAATCTCTCTCAAATGGCCTGACTGGTTTTGGATATAAAATGGCATTGAAGGATGGGAAACAAACACAGAATTGCTTTAAGTGTCTGCACTGTGTCAGAGAGTGCCGCTCCCGTATTGGAAATTTCAGCCATATTCGGTGCTGTTATATAAGGGGCGACTGATCACGCAAAACGTAAATCCATGGTCTTTCAAGACGAAGGTGCCAGCGAGCCAACATTAATTGTGGACACATATATTCTAAGCCGTTAATAATCCACATTTCTCGTTAATAGATAAAGCGCGAACTCACCATACTGAGAAGATCCCGGGCAGCTTCGAGTGTAGGAGTACCCACAAGACACCCCGGCATCTTCAGAATGACTGCAGTCGTGCCTACCCCAACCATAGTGACCACATGCTGATATCGAATGTTCTCCTCCACTGCAACGGACATCATCCAGCCAAATCTGCCCATTGCCCAGGCCATAGCAGGCAGACTGGTATGCCTTTGCATAACGATCGCTAGAATGTAATTAAACAAGACACGTACAATGTATGTGCATAACGTCATGTAATTCACACTGACAGTGGGATTTTATGATTTTCTTTATTCTTCGGGTTGCAGGTTAAAGATGCATAATTAATGAGGGAACCTGTCTGCGTCTGCAATTAGAATGTAGCTCTATTTCGAATATGTTTTTTTTTTATCTAAAGTGTAGTTCATTGCATGTCCTACTAATGTCGGAAGTTACACGCATCGACATACCCTCGACAATATAGAAGCCTTTGTGTACATATGTTCTCGTTTTACAAAAGCCTGTAGTAATAAATATCAAAGTTAACAAAAAGGTCAATGTACATAGAAATGTTTATAGGCAAACATATTTATCATTGCCCGTACCCAAATCCAAGCATGCGACATATGACCCTAGCGTCATTATCGTCAAAGTTGTCGTCACACACAGTGCCCCAGCGACCATTGTAGTACACCTCCACACGTCCCTCTCTGTTGCTGTAGCCTCCAACTAAACGAACTGGGACGGCTGCAATAAGAATAATTTTTATCAAACTATTTTAAGACAATCCTTGCCATAACCAAAGTTATAAGTATATGGACTTCGTTAATTATGGTGTCTATATCATTGATTTGATACGCCCAATAACTAAGGTATATAATAAACCTGTACATACTTGGTGTTACCGATTCTGTTGTGGGGCTTTCGGTAGTTGGCCACCCTGGAGTTGAAAACAATGATATATATCATTTGACAAACATTGGATTGCATCAGCATGAAAGTATCTTTTCAGGTTTGCTGTTTTTCAGGGACGGTTTTATCAAAGGTTTCCTGACACTATTTACCTTTACATGCGTTAATATCGACACTGATGGCAACAACTTACACGATGCACCTTCTCATACGAATTATGCGTTACACATAAGTAAATATGATGTGATGTGATATGAATTATGAAACTCGGCATACCGTAATATTCACATCTCTTCCCGTATCTATCCCATGGACATGTACAGTTGTAGTCCACAAAGTTATAAGGCCAGTAATAAGATCTTTGAGGGACACATGTACCTCCATTGTAACATGGATTGTTCGAGCAAGGGTCTGCTGGAAGAATTGAAACACATAAGTTTAACACATTTGAATAAGCAATTAACAGCCTCTTAAAAATCCACAAAACAAGCACACAATCAGCATTCAAACCTTTCGAACTGATGTAATTAAACGAACCGGAACAATCAGTGAGAGCAGTTTGCCTTAACATAAATTTCACATCTTATCAATGTCCCTACAAGACATAGACAGTATTATATCAAGCATCCCACCCTCATCCCTCATCAAGGCACCGAGTACCTTCAGGAAATCCCCCTTCCCTCAACGAAATGAAGTTTACGGCTATGTACTTGAAAGATAGAACATGCATTTTTACATGTACAATATCTAAATACTTAGAATGATTATGGTATATTGCAATTAACTTGAACATACTCAGTGGAGGCGCCGTTGCTTTTGTAGTGCTTTCTGTAGTTGGCCAACCTTGAATAAAATGCGGGATATATAAATTGCTATAAGCGACCGACAAAAAACATTGATATAAAATGATAATAAAAAAAGAAAAAAAAAACATAATATGTTATAATTAACGGAGGTTTCGTATGTAAAACTCGTCTGTTGACAGGTTTGTCATTTTTCAAGGATTTAGCCTTTCTTTTATCTGTATCGTTTTTTTCTGTATTAGCATACTGATACATAGCACTGGTATAAAAGTAGCACAGTAGCACAATATTATCCCTATCTGTTACCGTGGTGTCCAATGTTCAAAAACAGTTCTTCAATACTGCAAGTTTTAGGCAAGCATATTTATCATTATTATAAATATATTACATTAGTTATTAAAGCGTTGCTTCAACATTTAGAAATAAGTGAAAACTGAAGTACAATTACAAACTGAACAAGAATAATGGGGTCAAGGTAAAAAATTATAAAGAGAGAGAGAGAGAGAGAGAGAGAGAGAGAGAACACAAAGTCAGGCAAATACAGTGTACCCTCGTAACAAATGTCTAACCCAATAGCATTTCACAAGTTAAAAATCAGAAACGTTAAGTTCACTTACTCGTAGTGTAATTGTAGTTGGTACAGGAACGTCTGTACGAAAAGCCACAAGATACTCCGACGTCCTCGCTATGTGAGCAGTGGGTGTTACCCCAGCCGTATCCCTTATAGCACTGAGCTAGGGATGATTCGGTCCCTTGACAGTGCAGATGATTCAGCCATATCTTGCCGCTACCTTCACCAAAGCAGGCGCCGCCATAAGCCTTAGCGTAGCGGTCACTAGAGCGGGATGGATACAAGTATTGGTTAATCAAAGTGATGTTATTTTATTATAAGAGGACGCGGTATTTCATAATGGTGAATCTTAAAAATGTTCAAGTTCTACACAATGAGCTGAATGAGTATCTGAGAGCTTTAGCTCCAACACATTTCAACTCAACTGAACAGCTTTTAATTCAATAATTATAAGTTACACTACAACACATGTTAACATTCATCAGAAAGAAGCGATTGGCCGATTGTTGGATAACAAGAACAGAAACATTAACGATGCTTCAGATGTAAAAAAAAAAAAAAAAAAAATACCCGTGTCCAAGCATGCGGCATACAACTCGAGCATCATTATCATCAAAATCGTGGTCACATATTGTTCCCCAGCGTCCATCGTAGTAGACCATTACTCGCCCTTCACGATAACTGTTTCCACCAACTAAACGCACTCCTGTAAGACAAAGGAATTATAAATGGAATGCAATATGTCAGAAGATAATAAATGTTATGCTCACAGTCATGCTGGAACGTTAACATATAATGATTAGAATAAAACATGTGATACGACATTTAAGTAAATATATAAATAATATAAAAATAAATAAAGAAAGAAAGAAAGAAAGAAAAATGGTCGATTTACTCACTGACATATTCTACTGTCGTCAAATTGGGGATTTCTGTTGTTTCTGAAAAAGCGTAATAAATATCAAAAAAAAATAATAATAATAAATAAATTTCGTATATTACAATTTGTGCAATTACTTGTTGCTATCAGCAGAGCATCTATCTTTTTTTACCAAAGTCATCATGAATACATTTACTCGCATCATGATTTCACGTCATATGAGCGCCTCTGGAGTACTGTGCCAAAACATTCAGAAACAGTTTGCTAAAAAAAAAAAAAAAAAAAAAAAAAAATGTGTTGTACTCGTCCATCTGGGAAACTTCAATACTGAATCAATATAAAAAATAGTTCGCTCTGTTAAATGAATATGCGCCTACGATTTCTGGAATCTATAGACACAGAATCGTATTATCGTAGCAAACACTATTGTACTGCACCAAACATATTGTACTCACGGTATCCGTAGGCGCCGTACTCGCACTTTTGCCCAGTACGGTAGTAAGGACAGTTACATCTGTAGCCAGTGTACGGCCAATAGTAACTGTTGGTACGTATACATGTACCGCCATATTGGCAGGGGTTACGGGAACAGGGGTCTGGAATTGTAGATGTTTAAATGAGGTGCAAGACATGACATTGACACAATAGTATGTTAATCTTCAGAAACTAAAACTACTGGCAGAATAGAATGGCATTTCGAGACGTGCACAGGCGATTCCCGACATATATTTTACACGTTATAATGTACTTACAAAAACTTGTACGCAGCTCATTGAACTCATGAGTGTACTTATAGCAACTTCCACACAGCTTTTACAAAAGAAATAACACCATAATAAACGAAGACAAGTGCAACAGGAAGTGTTTACCGTATGTAGTTGTTTCCTGGGTAGCTGAACATGAAATGGAAATATTTCAATATCAGAGCTCAAAAACCTGCATTTTGGCTTATGACACGATATACACGTAGTTGAATTAGTTGATTTTTTTTTATTTGAGTAAATATTATGAATTTAAAATGTTGAGGACTCATAATATTATTACATATAATATCACACAAAATGAACAAGCAAAAAAAAAAAAAAAAAAAAAAAAAAAAAAAAAAAAAA